CCCCAAAACCCCAAAACCCCAAAACCCCGGATGATGTAGACATAATTGAACTATTAAGAATTAGTTTCCAATAACTGTGTGTCAATAACTTTTTCAAGCTCCAATCCTCTAGTTTTTAGTTAATATCGGGGAAATGTAATTTCAATTCTTTTTCCGAAAGAATTTTCAAATTTTTTTGTGAATGATTCTTCAAAATTTTCTGGCAATTCTTCTTCAATCTCCCAATCTTGAAACTTTAACTGTTGCAAACTTTGCATAAGATCAGGAGAAGTGGTGAATCCTTTAATCAAGTTCTCCAGTTCACCAGGGTTGGTAAATTCGTCGTCACTACTTGAGACAACACTATGGCAGAACTTTAACTCCTTGATCTTAGAGCCCTTGAGAGCCAACGAAAGATCAGGAACTCTTGGGACTAAGAGAGTGCAGCTATTGAATTCGATATTTTCAATATGTCTGAAAGCTGCAAGGGATCTTTTGAAATGCCTTTCATTGAATCGATAAACACTAAAAGATATTTCCTTCTCAACTGCAGAGTTAATTTTCAAGATTTGAGGTAAAATATGATTGGGAGGAGCGCATTCACTCTCTGGAAAATATATGTCTCAAGATTTCACTCTTCTCGGAAAAGTTTGAGACAAGAAAATTCAAAGATCCTTGAGTTTCTCTGATAGAGTCATAATTTTATTCCCATAAGGAAATCTGAGAAATCAGTTTTTATAATTTACACAACCAGTATCTCTGCAAAGTTCAAACCCGTGAGGGGACTCTATGTATATCTCTTCTTCCACATTTCCTCCGAAATCTGGATACGCATTTCTCTGGATGTCTACATATTTCTGCTGCACATCTACATTAATAATTGGGTGAAGTCTTGAATAAAAGAGTGTTTTTGATACATTTTCTGCATATAATCTACTAAGCAAGCGAGCAGATTTTGGAATCTAGAAGCCACTTTATTGTATAAACAGACACATCCTTCGAGAGAAGCCATGATAATGTGAGAATCTTGAAACTTCTTTAACATCGAAGTAAGTTCGCAATTTGGACCATTTTGATCTCGTCAACTCTCAGATGGAAATGCTATTAATTTAGTTGATTTTGAGTAGACTTAGCCATAAGTTACTCAAATTTCCATTTGAACAATCATCAAAGGTAAAGTTAGAGCTCTTAGTGATGATACAAACAAGGACAAACTAAATAATAAATTGAAGCAACCATGGCAGATCTCAAGATATATAAACCAAATTATGTTGTGATATACTCTATTCAAAGACTTGGGCAAAGAATAGATCAAGGCCTTCTCCAGAATTTATACTATCGACTAATATAAGCAGGTCTTCAGAAAAATTGGAGTAAACGAGTGATGCTAGTATCCCAAAATTTAGACTTATTTGTTAGAGGCCAACTAAAATGTGTTTAGGAAAAGTTGGATAAGCTCAGACTCAGAGTGGATTGACAAACTTACTCAATTCTTTCATAATTCACTTAGATTTCTCCCAAATGGTAGAATAGTACATGCCAGCTCGACTGGGTCGAAATTTATTTGAAGAGATGGTACTTTCATATTTCTTCGTAAAAGGATTCACTGAATTCTCTTCCTTGAGCTCATCTTGATCAGGGATGTCAAAACTACTCTCGGAGACAGATTCTTTGAGTCTTGTTCAATCTGCATCCACATAAACTCCGAACGGATTGACTATAACTTTTTATCCAGAACTTACCTTTTCTAGACTTGCCATCAGCTTTTTGGCAAGTTGTGTTCGATGGTACGCTCTCATTTTGGTTTGGAGGCTTGATTAACTGGGTGCTCTGATTATTGCCAGCGGCTAAAATTTATTGTTGGTATTCTTACAAGAGCAGATTGCATCAAACTTGGCTTTGCTTGCTTTTAGTTTCCATGGGTTGGTGTCCCAACATCTCGTTCTTTCCTTTACAGGCTCCTGAAGGGAAATATAGGTATCTTCAGAGGTGCCTGTCATACTTGACGGATCTGAAGAGCCTTCCTTGTCTTCTTCGATTTGACCCATATGCACACTTGCTTCATCATGGGATTCTTCGAAGCTTTTCTTGAGATAATTTGGAAACTCATAAAAATTCCGCGCAATTTCTGGAATTGACCAGCCCTCATTTGACTGCTTTTGAGTAATGTCAGAGCTCGTCTCTGCACTTAGATCTCCTCTCATAATTTCTATAGGTACGAGTTATCAGCTCAACAATTGGGATGAATGCTTACCTAGATTTTCTGACTGAACTTGTATCTTCTTCGGATTCTGCTCCATTTTGAATAAAACTATTAATATTAGATTCTTAGTTCGGTGAATATCACGGGGTTTTGGGGTTTTGGGGTTTTGGGGTTTTGGGG